TGATATATATAACTTTAATGTTCAACCGTATATATTATACATACAAGTCATCATTTATTTAATAGAATAAGGCTAGACATATTAGTGATCCACACATTGTAATTATTGTAGTTGATCGCACTAGTATTTAGTAAATCAAGTCTCTACCGCATTCTCTCTCAGATTACATATTGGATCATCTAAAAAGTATCCGCGGTTTTTTGTCACTAGATGTGTGTTGATGGTCATATATATAGTGACAAAGTACCGCGGATACTTTTTAGATGATCCAATATATTGACAACTTATTAATTTCTACTGGACTTTTATCAATCTCTGTTGAATAATTATGCATTTAGTCCCATTTAGTCAGATCTTGTCAAATGTGTCTAACAATAGTTAGGTTACTAATTAATTTTAAAATTGTACTGAAAATGACTTAAAAATAAATATCAAATATTCTTAAGTCATTTACTTACCATCACTGTTTATGTGCCAAAATTTTTAAATAAATTTATATGCACGTACAACCGGAATCGATTCTCTATTAACATTGTTACTGTATTAGATACTTATTTTAATCTTAATGTAAATTTATTTACAATTACCCAGAAAACCCATAAACGAAGCACCGCTGATATATAAGGCATTTTTATGCAAAAAGAATTTTGCTGCTTTTTTATTTATATTTTTATTTACTAATCTTTTAACCTTAGAATGCTATTCGATACGTAAGTTTTATGTACAAGTAAGTGAAGTTATTGAGCGCTAAGCTATGCCTTCAGTAGTCATTAGGAGATTCAATTTACCATGCTAAAAGCTAGGTCAAGCGAAGACAAGCTTTTAAAAATTCTGTCCGTTTTATATATATCAGTTTGGATTCCTTGGCCAGTATTATAATAAAGAACATAATAAATAATTTCAATTTTTATGCAGTTTTGTATCATTGTTTTGTGTTTTATATATTTTATTCTTATTCTTTTTTATATTTTATTCTTCCTTTCCTTTTAAATTAATAATTAGATTGTTTGTGTATATAAAAGTCTAGATTATAAAAATATTTATCATTAAAAATGTGAAATGTATAAAAAAATCTGTATTACATTTTAATTAGAAGTAACCTATTTCCTTAACGTAAAATTTACATATCGAAAGCAATAGCGATAGCATTCTAAAGTAAAATAAGATGTTTAATCATGTTATTTTTCTTTAAAGCGAAAATATAAAAAAAATTTTTACATTAAAGTTAATAGAGAAAATTTTCACTTTACTTGTTTTCTAGAAAAAAATATTACATGATCGATATCTCAATGCTAAAATAGCTTGATATGTACTGATTTTAGTAACGTCGAGAAATAAACAACTATCCGATTCAACTGGTTTCAGAAAAATTATAATACATAATATGGTTTCTCTAAATTGATACACTTCAGAAGAAATTAAATCTAACTGAAGTAAATCACAAGTGCTACAATTGGAAAATTGATTTTTAAAACTTAATTTGGCGTCTTTTCTATTAATGCGCCTTTATGTAGTGCAAAATTTGTAGTGCACCTGCATGCAGTGGCCTCGCTTACGAAAAACACGCGAATGTCTTTATAATTTGATTATCGATTATATAAATAATCGTTTCATTTGTTAATAATATGCTCTGCAACTTTTTGTCAAGAACTTTCGAAACAGCTTTCTTAACTGGCATCGCAATAATTATATTTATTCAAATCGAGAAGAATTCAAATCAATTAAGAAGGATTTACATTTAACGTCTCATTTTTTTTGTTATTACGCTTCGTTTATATACGAAGAAAAAAAATTTATTTAATTCAAGTTAAAACTAATTTTCTGAGAGTTAAGTCGTGTCAGTGTAATCGACGACTCTTAACGTTGATTACGACTGGATCGAATCAACATTGGGGTGTGTTCTTCACCCCTTCATACCATTTCACCAGCATAGAAATCGGAATTCCCTTACATGCTGCCTTTGTAATATTCGGTGCAGTAATACAGACGATTTTCGGAGCTATTATACTATTTCAAGCGCGACGTCTGCCAGACGTTCGTGTCGCCGAGAATCAGGAGTAGTCGTGTATCGTAATTTGCTTTTGTATGAAGATTTTATAGCAGAGCGGAGAGAGATGCCGTTTGAAGCAATGAATTCGCGTACTGGTGATATATTGCGCGATTATAACGACCATAAGCGTACAAAGATGCAAATTTAATTGGCGATGCACACGCAAGCAGGCGATGAAAGTTTTCTCTGAATGTGCGAAGAAGAACACGCGTTTAAAGCGAACTTTTTAAAAGCGACTGCGACTATAACTAATCAGCTAAAATAGATCGCTGCCAATTTTTTTTTGTTCGCATACCTAAAATAGAACAAATTTCCTTATTCTTATCGAACAAAATGCCTCGGAATATATGCGCATAGGTATTAAAATACACGTTCTCAAAAGCATAATCGCATTCGAAGCATATTCAACAAATGCCATGAAAAAACATATATGGTAAAATGTGTTTTGCTGCTTTGATAAAAATCCTATGGTTCGTGACTATGTTCGTGTCCTAGTTTTGCATGCGCCGAACATTATGACAATTTCTGAGGTTTACTGCGGACAAAAAGTGACTAGCGCTAAATATATGCGACAAATGCACATACAAATATATATTATCACCATTTCTTCGATCTCCTGAGACAAAAAGAAACTAAAGTGAAAAATATACATGATACATTTTTTTAATATCCTCCACTGAGATAAAAAAATACTTTATGCATTTGTTCTACATATGTGCTCTTCTTTTTCTTAACGTATGCTTAAGAAATCAGAAAAACGTGCATGAAATTCTTCCTCTCCTTTTTTGATGAATTATGCCGCGCAAAAAATTGCATACGAACGTACATTTATGTCGCGGTAAAGAAAACGTATGGAAATTTGCATGGAAATACGAAGCTCGTTTAATCAAAACAACAAGAGAGATGAATTCCATGAACATTTTTACTTCGTTCTGTCCGAGATTAATTCTGTCTATATCTATATTGTCCATCTATGAAATACATATATCAACGTGTCATATAAAGGAGCATCAATTTTCAAGGAGGCGATTAAAAAAAATCATAGAGTATAATCTCATATATAGAACTAAATTCTTTATAAATTATCAATTACTTTATAAAAAATCGAATTTTATGGAGTTTTATAAAATTGTATCTTCAATATCAAAACGAATAAAATTATAAGATCAAATTAAATTTAAAAATTAATTAAAAGTTAACTCTTAACTAAAAATTAAAAGTTTATCTAATTAAAATTTTTATTTTTAATTAAAAGTATTTAATTAAGAGTAAACCCTTAATTAAATATTCAATCAAGAGTTTAAAAAATAAAATGCTTGTAGATTTATAGAAATAACAAAATGTTATTATATAATTACGAGCTATAAATTCATTCTAGGAGAGAAGTCGAGCTTGGGATTTATAAGTCTTATAAAATAAATCTTGATGTAACTTTATATATATATAAATCCGTAATATATAAAATATGAAGAAGATTGATAAAGATTTACAATATTACATAAATTAATATATGTAAACTTCAATTCGGTAGATATATCATCATCTGTCTCTGAGAGAAAATTAATTAATTTAATTCTTAATCCGCAAATTTATCATTTTATATATTAAGAGTAATTATTCTATGTACGACTGCATTAAACTCTATTCAAGTGATGGATTCAGACATTGAAAACATCAAGGAGAAGAAAATTTCACCGCACTTTCTGGGGATTATCATTACTTATCAGTTTGGGACAGATAATAACGTAATTGTTTTAGAGAAAATGCTCTATAATTCCTCAAGAGAGACTTCCTAGATTTATTAAATAAACCATAACTCTCCCCCCTATAGCCATATCTTATTTACAGATTCACCACCCAATAATTTCAACAAATTCTGTTTAATTCCTACATTTACTTTGTTAAAATATCGGTAAACACATATTTTTAGAAAAGATTATTTTGTAGACATAGTAAGTTAAAAAACAAAATCTACGCTTAAATCGACATGTTATTAAAATAATGATAATAATAGATAACGATAATGCATAATAATAATAATAAATCGTATAATAAACTCGCGTTAATATAATCTGATCAATTTTCATAAAAGTAAAAATTACTAATGTTTATAACGAAGTTGAGTCGATAAAGTGGGATTTCGGCATCGGCTAATTTCTAAATATTAGACAGAATTAATATTCTAATATGTAATAACGCAATGTTATAAGCAGCGTTGTAAATTTATTTGCGCACAGCGTTGCTTGATATTGTTTCCTGGCTCTTGTATTTTATACATAGCTACACATGTTTGTACATGTACACCGCGTAAGGATTTAATAACTCGATTTGTACGTAAACTCTGCTCGGTAATCAAGACGCGTACACCAAAATTAAACGTGCATAATTTTCATAGTCACGCACTGTAATTCCCTTATAATAAAAAATAATTATTTCCTTACAGCAAAAAAATAACAGACTTCTTCGCAAATTTTCGAACATAATTAACTGACTTAAACGTTGCTAAAGAATTGCGTTATACAAAGCAAAGCGGGATCTGTTGTCTCCTCTTTTTCGTAATTACATCATCATTTTCTTGCGATATCCCAAAAATATAAAACATATTGAAAAATCAACATTTTTCATTCGAGTGCATTTGTTTACGACGGTAACGTTCAGCCACTTCAATTCCAAGCTCTCTCATGTGCTATTCAACTCGCATTTGCTCCCTGCAGGAAATTATCGGCTCAGGAACACCGATGCTCGGAAGCATTAAAAACGCGACAACAAATCTTATTCGCGCGAGTAATGACGCTTTCACGCGCATCAGTGTGACGACGTGCGTAAGCGAGCCCGAAAGTTTTCAGAGACGAGTGCATGCGATCACCGGGTCGGATTTACGAGGACAGAAAGTTTTGTGACGAGAGTGCAGGCGGAAAGAAAAATGACGGCTACGATCTCTCTCTTTTACCTGACCGAAACTGTGACATCTCAATGGTTCGAGCGGCTCCAGGGGCACGTTTCTCTTCCTCAGGGTGGCCGCGCAGGGCGCGCCGCCACCTGGCTTACCCCACGGCGAGTAATTGGCCAGAATTTCCTGCAGCTGCAAGGGAAAAAGAATTAGAAACGTAACTGTTGCAGTTGAGCTACAAACGTCAGCCGACGCGACTGCAGTTATATTTTGCGCGAAAAACACACGTTTAAAGTGTGTGCTGAATTTTTCCGTTGCGCAAGTAGGAGCTGCGATAAAACAAAGAATTTCTTTAAATTAAATTTTTACCGGGTCTCAAGAATGTCGTGTAAAGGTACAACAGGACACCGCGCGTATCCTGGTATGTTAGAAATAATTACGCTTGGCTCCTAAGAGATCGAAATGCGGCGTCTAGCACGACGCGACGCCGCAAATTAAAGATGGCTTTTTGCATTTAGAAAGGAAATCGCGCGTCGCCTTTTCCCCGTTTAACTTGAAGGTGTTTAATGTCAATGCGATTGAGAACCTTGCGGGGAAATAGGATTAACCCTGAGCGTATCAACCCTTCTCGGCAATATTGCTAACGCACTTGCATTCGACCGCGTGCACTTGCACCAGACCGCGGCTGCATCAGATTCCCGAGTAATAAGAGGGATGGGACCACGAGGTAATCCCTCGGCCTGTCTTTATTAGCATACTGGTTATACGATAAATTCCGACCTCCCCCCCCCCCCCGTAGTACGTGGTAAACACAATTTAATACGGTCGACGTGTTGCATTAACGATACGAAATAATCACTGAAGCAATAATTATCCCGGGATTTTCACCGGCATAATTTCGACATGTATTTTGTGTTTGATTGAAATGACAGAACAAAGTATTACGCGACAGATATTACGGTGAACTGAATGTCGCGTATATATACGCGCGTGTATGCCCGTGCATTTTTACGATATATTCCGTACGAATTGTTATTTTCAGAGGATGGTAATGAATGTAACGAGCGTATGTTCTGCAAATATTTAGAATCGCCCCGATGATGATTGCGCATCATCGTTATGCTGCGTCAATACCAAAATAAAATAAAGAAAGGATGAAAACCAGGTAGCGAGATTTTAAACGCCGAATGTAATTGGTGTTAAAAATATATATACATTATCCTAAATTCAGGAACATTTATAATTTTCTCGCATCTCACGAAAAGTAAAAGTTATATCTGGATCGAAACAAATCGTAAAGGAAATACATCTTTTAAAAATTTATTTTGAATAGAAGAATTTCCTTTTTATTTTCACTATTTTTGTTTTATTTTGAAATACTGCACTGTAGCTTAATGAAACATCGAAAATTGTGACAATAAAGTATTTAAAATTTTCTAAACTTTAAAATGGTTTTTAAAACATTTGTGCTTTTTCCCAATGATATCAATATTTGATATTAGATATCAAAGAAATTGAATGATAATCCAATCACTTGAGTTAAATGACATTTTGTTATTTTTAATTTCTATGTGTGCGAAAATGTAAATCAATCCCTTTTCGTAGTTAGTTTCAAAATAAACAACGTTCATATTATTGTAATATATGCGAGTAAACAACGATCATATTAATAATACTTATTAAATAATAAAATAAATTTAAATCAAATTTAATTTATTTTCTTGAATTAATTATTTAACTTCATTGTTTTAGTTAAATTAATAACATATTAAATAGGATTAGTGACGATCTAGAAATGATTAAAAATAACTTAAATTGAGCATAATTTGACATTATAAATTTAACAGTGAAATTTCTTGTGTAAAAACTCATTTTTACAAAATCTTTCTTAACTTCAAATATTTCTTAATCTCAAAAGAAAAAAGAAAAAAGAGAAATTTTTGTTATGTATTCTTGATTTGCATAAGTTAAAAAAAAATGTTTAACTTAACTTTTCGTAAAATTTAAGAAAAACGTAAACGTTTCCGAATTTATAAACAATAGTGTATGATACAAAAAAAAATATTTAAAAAAGCAATCCCTAAAAATGATTTCGCGTGTTTGCTACGAAATTGTAGAAAATGAGAAACTGATACTTAAATGAATAAATTGGCGCGTAACTTAAATTATTATCTCGAAAATTTGATTGCTTGTAGAATTTCCGAGAATTTGTGTTCTTGAACGTCCGACGACGCAGACATCGATTTTATTTCTAATTACGATTCATTTCCACGGTCACTTCGGAGATTACCATTAACACGACCCCGACGCCTAATGAGCTGTACAACATTTATTACAAGTTCGTAACGAGCACGCGGAACGAGACATACAGTTTATGTAAAGCGCGCGAGGAGAGACCATGATAGATTATTGGGTTATCTTTCGCGGCTTGTTTCTTAAGATAGTTAGAGACGGAGATTATGTAAATCCACTTTAATGGGATAGTTTTATTACCGTTCGCTCGCACGTAATTCCCCGCTTCGAATTCAACGACACGCTTCGCGAAACATAGAAATAAACGCAACTAGGTCAGACACGTACTGAAATTATAGAAACATTTTCAAAACATGTCTGTAATAGGGATGAGCAAAAAATCATTTGATATTTAATATTCTATCACTATTTGATAATCTCAGCTAATTTTCATTTTGGAAAAATATTACATTTTTAAATATTTGTCAAATAATGTTGATCGCATTTCAATACTTATTTGCTACTGATTCTTTCATTCAGTTCTAGGTCGCTTAATTACTAGTATACACAGATTGAATGTAAATGAATATTTGTTCTACGACATAACATCAGACGGTTTATGTTGCATATACAGATAAAATAATGCGGACAACTGAGAAATATATTATTTGTTTTATCAATAAGAAGTTCGCTCACTATTTGTTTTTAATACAAATTCTATCCTTGTTAGAATAAAGTTATATCCTCTTAGAAAGACTTTCTGAGATAACAAGACAGAAATATTCTTGATGTATTCAATCTTATCGCAATACCTATACAGTATAAATATAAAATAATATATTAAAACTACATCAATAATCCTATTCAACTCTCTCGAATTAAATAAGATTAAAATACTGATTACGATATTTCTTTGAGAAAAGAATAACAGATACATTTAAAAGTTTATATATTCTTACATTTAGAATAAATCTTTACCCGATATTATAACGCACTCTCTAAATTCTTTAGAAAATCTTATTCTAAAGAAAGAAAATTAAGCCAGTCTTAAAAAAGAATGATTCAATTTTCAATTTTTAAGAATAAGATTTCTACAGAATGAGATTCACTCTAAAAATTGTAAACAATATGTCATGCTGACGCTACAGTATTTTAGGCGAAATCGATATACTGGATTATTTTATTCTAGATTTAAGAACTTTCCATTTAAGAGTAAAATATTTCTCTTTCAATAATAAATATAATTATTTTTACATCAATCCTATTTTATGATAAATCGAAAAATAATGAGTGCTTTATATTTGATGACACAAGTGTCGTTCTATCTTTGTTACTCTCTGAATATCAAGAAAGATAGAATAATGTTTGTGTCACTAAATGGAAATGCCAACGTATTGATTCCGGAAATTTTCTCTTTAAGACCTTTAAAGTAAATCTTACCGGTCTGAAAGATAAATTTAAAGATTGAAGATTAAACCACTCTTTTTCAAGACTGGCTCAATTTTCACTCTTTAGAATTTTCTACGAGTGCATATTTATTTGAACAATTGTTGCAATAAAATATTATATCATTCTCCTGTAAAATATCTTTTAATTGCTTAAAAGATATTGGAGGAGCAAATCTGTTTTCACTCTACTCTTTAAACTACAAATAATATTCAATGATTATTTAAATAATGTCCAAAGTAAATATTGATGTTTTGGAGAATAAAGGATAATTTTGGAAAATAAAAAAATAAAGAGAAGCAAATTATCTCCTCAAATATTTTTTATATAAACAATTGAAAGAGAGATATTCTATTAAAAAGACATTTTACAACATTGGTAACTATTCAAGCATTGTACTCTATCGCAACAAGGATAAAATGTGTAAAAGCAAATAATGAGCCAATTATTATTAATAAACGAGTAATAAAATAAACAGTATTTCCTAGGTTCCATATTATTTTATCTATCTTCTGTATATTATTTCGAATGTCTAACAATCACTTTCAAAATCAAACGCGGCGTTGTGTGTGTGTGGTGGATTTTAATGTCTCGACCGCTTGCAATACCACGAAGGATTAATTTCCAAAGTCCGCCCGTCTTCGCCTTAATGACGTTCCGGTTCACCGAACATATCCCGAGGCCGTATCTCTCGCAGTAGACCCTTATCCAATCGGTAACAATAGCGAGGCGAGACAATGACATTAAGGGGCGGTCGAGACCGTAGGGCAAGAGGTATAAACGGCAGTAACGTGGCCAAACCAGAAACGCCCATTTGTGTGACACATACTTCACGTTGCTCGCGGTGCTTTTGACGTTGCAGCTCCTCCTTCCGTCGCCTCCATAACGCCGTGCCCTCCTGAACAACTCGGTGCTCACGCTTTCTCCTTGCGTCTTCTTCGACTTCCGGCTCGTATGTCGGTTCAGGAACTTCCTGCGCCATTTACGTATCTCTCTGGCCTAGCAGGATAGAGGGAAAAAGAGAAACAAAAGATCGCGCGACTGTGCACGATCACGACGCGATGTGACGTGTACTCCTCAGGCATGCCAGCTTCGAATATCGAATGCCAAAATAGGACCAGGAGCGACTTGGCACAAGTCGCATGCCGCAGCACGTGGTTCTGTCATCATTCGTTATCGATTTAACAGAATATCGCTCTTCCCTCGGGAGATACGACGGCGTAATAGGAGTGCCGATGCCAGGACACCACACTGTAATCGAGACGTCCAGTTTTATATGTATATCGTTTCCCGATATAAAAAACGAGTCATAGAAAGCATCCCTCTGCTCCACCCGCAGCACAAAGTTCGGAGCTTTGTTCATTCATTCGATGGTTGAGCTACAATTTAATTCCACGTGTCCCGCCACTGCAAACCGGCGCGGGCGTGCACGAAACAATTGCGTAATTGGATTAGAATGCCGACATTTAAATTACGAGCGTGCTATATTTCATGTTTCTAGCAGCACTTTTCAACGGTATGCTTACATTTTGAGACGTTTTTTTTTTTATTATTTATCAAAGAAAATGTAGCAAAATGTGTAGAACACGCAAATTGAAAAGCGCAGGCTTATTGAATTCGACCGCTATAAATAATGGTGTCGCCGACTTCATATTCCGATCACGTTTAATAAATCACTTTTGTCTGTCACACGAAACCAACTGTTGTATAACTTCTATTGTATATTTTATTGCTTTGTCGTGCATCAGATTGATATGTACAGCAAAATATTTTGTATTTCCCGCTTGCTTCTACATTTTTTTAAATAAGACATCATTTCTCAGAATTTCATATGGTCATCAAAATTGATTAAGAATTGATTAAGAGATAATTATATAAGAAGCTTAAAACTTATAAATCTACAAAAGATTTTTAAATGTTAAAACTCTAGTTCAATATCTAGCCACAATATATTCGTGCTTTATTATTAATTCATTCAATTATAATATTATTTTGAGTTAATAAATATAAATAAGATTAGTCATCAAACTATAATCACATGTATAATAATGACTTAGAAGAGAGCTATTTCCAATTTTCAATAACATATTTAAAGAATATGAAATATAAATATTTTATAAAAGAAATTGAGAAAGAATATATAAATATACAATATATAATATTCATAATTTTTCGAAGAAAGATCAGCTATATTAATTAAATTATTAGAGATGCTTCAAAATAAAATGTATATATTACCAGAACTATATTTATCACGATTGCTCAGTTTTTATTATTAAAATATTTAAAAAAATATACAATGAAAAACAAAAATAAGTTTCTTTTTTGGCTAAGTGTAGTGTTCCTATAATAGAGTTTCCACAATAAGTCATTACCTTTAAGCTTTAAATCTTGAATCGTAAGAAATTGATCTATCATAGTCAATTATTCTTCTCACATTCGACTGTGATATTGGTCAATTTCTTATGGCTTAAGACTTAAATCTTAGGTAATGGAATTATTGTGGAAAATCTATAATACTATTGAATAGGTGCGATGACGATGCCACGGATGGCGTGCTTATCTACATCTAGCTAAAGCTCTAGATATACCAAAGTAGCGCAATACTTTTATTTAAGCCGAAATGCCGACAACTTTCCAATTGGCTATTTCAACCTCCATTTTGGACCTAGTGGCCTGTAGACCAATAAGCACTTAGTATTATTGATATATGATATTAGTAAATCGAAAATGGAAGACCTTTGCGCTACTTTGATATATCTAGAGCTTTACATCCAGCTACATCAGAAAAAGAACTCATCTTTGTTCTTCATTATTATAAATGATTCACAAACAAATTAAATATGAAATAAAGGTCATCAGAGTTATTATATATGTTCAATAAAAAATGATTGTCTTTCGAGTGCAAGAACGTAACTAATCGTTTCCTTTTCTTTTTAGCATTAATTAGAATCCCGTTTACTAAATTGCTTTAATATGTTATAATTTTTAAAAAATTTACATTTAAAAAGTTGCAAAAAGAGCTATTTTATTATATTTTAACATGTAACATAATATGATATGTGATGTATTCGAGAAATTTTATTGCAAAATTAAATATACTGTTAAAATTTTCAAATCTTGAAAGAAATTTGTTGTGTCAATTATGGTTCAAAAAAAATATTTGTGAATAAGATCTATTGTATATCAAAGTCATGACTTTGTGTGCTACCAAATATTTTTTATCCAAATTTAAAGATTTTTCAGGTCGCTGAATACTGATGTCAAAATTAAAAAAATTCCAAAGATATTTCAAAATTCACACATTCCTTTTAAGGTTGAAAAAATCGTAATATAGGGGGGTACTTGAGTTTGATTGCAATCATTTCTTCAGCACGTCCCATATTACAAATATATATAATAAATACAAAAAACAATAAAATAGATGAAATAGTCTTTCTTGTAACTTCAACAAGTTTCTCAAAATTGTGACATGATTAAAGCAATTTAACAAAAGAAATCTTTCAGTGCCTAAAAACTTATAGAAAACTACAAGTATTATCTTTGTAGTGCATTTATTAAACAAAGAAACAAATCTATAAATCGTCTGTTTGTAGACAATGTATAAAATCTAGTTTGAATTGATATTCAATAATCCAGCTGAGTACTTATGTATATATAGAACAGAATAGATGTGCTTTATTTTGTGATCCCTGCATTCAGATACGGATTTACCTAGGAACAAATACGCACAAACTATAACATTTCCCACGGCCCATAAATAAACCGCAAATGCACTCAACGGTACAATTGACCATAAAACCGAGTCGCAGATACGAACCTCCGAGCTGTTGATTGTGTCCGAAATACGAAAAAATAGGGTCGCAGAAGTGAGAAAAAAAAACCGGGGCAGTTGTTCCTCTGCAAATAACAGTACTTATACCGACACGACACACTATCTACATACTGTACCGATTAAAACTGTTCCGGTCTCTGTCGTGAAACGATTTTGCAGCTTTTTAACTTTACAGCTTTTGCACACTTTGCTCTTATCGGCCTTCTATTAGTAAGAAGTGTTTCGTATAACGCGATATACTGACGCTATTTTCTCTGAATGCGATGAAAAAAGACAACAACCGAGTTTTACAAAATTAAGATCAATAGTAAAAGAAAAGTCAAAAGCTTTTACTTAGCATCTCTTTTCGCTTGCACGTGCAAACGCGTGATAACACGTAGTGGAATTAAACGTGCCAAGCGAAGAAGTGTCGCTAAATGATACGCCGCGCTGAGAGAAAAGTGTTTGTGACTATAATTGCACGGTAAAATAATTGTAGTAATTAAGTTCTATTTTTATTGCATAGTTATTTATTGCTAATAATATTAATAAAATAATTGTTACATATTTATAATTTTATATACCAAAAATTATACAATTGGCATTAAAAATTTCATAGCTCATCGTCATTTTTTCTATAAAATAACCATTTTCAGTGGCAATTATATATTTCTATGTAGAACTATAAATATAACAATAATTATTAATATTATAGCAATAACAACTATAAAACTGTCTGCTTCTAACCATAACTATTTCACCATGCAATTATAATCACAAATGCTTTTCTCTCAATATACTGTGGCTTGTGCTATCAAGCCGTGTGCATTACAAGCATCAAAGGATCCGCTTTCGTTCTCTCCAACTGATCTCCGCTATTAGAGTCCGATATAAGCTCAGCGCAAGCTGTGCAGTAATACTATTCAATCGAACAAGCGGAGAGAGAGAGAGAGATAGACGGATTCGTCACCAAGTCACGTAGCGATCAAATATAAATTTTATATCGGTTCGCAGGAGATGGTGGCGAAATCGAGAGACAGACAGGCTCGCGTAGAGTATCGATTCCGATACCGAATTCGCTGCCGAGCGCCGATTTGGTACCACGTTGCATGTCACTCAAGGGAACAAACCGATCAATACCTCGTCTTAGGATCAATAACAACCAAAGCTGACAGCACGATCGTATTGTAAATGCGACCCAGGATGCGCGTAAACGAGGGATCGATCCCAGGTTACGGCGGTACCGTCTTGTCCTCTCGACAGTGCTTCTTCCTCGTTCAAAGGTGAGACGTACTTCTCGCGCAAATCAAAGGGAAGAAAGAGCGACGTGCTTGTGACTATGATTATTACGATTTCTCGCGTGCCACCACGGCGTGGGACGATGATCCACGGAACGCGCGAGCGAACGGCGGAATTCTCGCTGAACCGATTACATTCTTACGTACTACGCTTCAACGCGGTCGGCCACCCCCTCGCGACTACGGGTGCACGCGACTACCGACCCTCGTGCGATCCAAGGAGGGTTGCGGTAGTCGCCGACGTCCCGACGTCTCGCCGGCATACCAGCGCACGATTTTCGCTACGGACATGCACGCGTTGGTTGCCGTGTGCTGCCGTCGTTATCTATGCCGCTATACCTATTACCTTTCAACCTTCGACTTCCGACCCCCCTTAATCAGGAGCGTAGCGACCGATGCTCTAGATTCTCCGCGAATGCCGAAAGTACTCTTCGCGAAGCGAGGTAAGGTGGAGGTATTACCAATTATTAGGAACTAAGTTTGTAATTCGAATTACTTTATCAATATTTCAAGTTTAAAATTATGTATAAAGATTATGCGTTTCGCGGATTTTCTCCGTGGTTCAGATTCATTTTTGGAATGCCAACGTTTCGTGAACCTTGCAGTCCACTTCATCGGAGCGAAGAGCAGCCTGATACTAGAATTTTAAATTATGTATTTATCGATATATTCGTTCTTAAATTTTAAATGCAATATAGAATAATTTAAAAAATATATGAAGTATAATTTACATATATAATATCTAGTTATATATATATATGTGTGTGTGTGTGTGTGTGTGTGTGTGTGTGTGTGTGTGTGTGTGTGTGTGACAAACTAACCAAGAAAAATTAAAGCAGCTATCTTTTCAAGAATCTTAAATAGCTATTAAATAATACATCATTTT